TGTGACATCAAAGTACCGCGAGAGCGATTAGACAGCATTTTTAAAATGTTTGTTTTGATGTCAAATACGTCTTGCTGTTTTGCTTTTTTGTTAAAGCAGTGTTTCTGTTGTAAAATTATACAGCTACTGTTGTGTTGCTGGGTTTTAAAGCAGGTTTGATTTTTCTTTCTTTCTTATCACTCTGTATTTACAGGATTTCACTGTCCACTCTGTTCAAATGTGGATGAATGGCTACACATAGATGTGTGCACACACTGTCAGAACTGTGTGAAATCACTACCATCCTGCTTTTGTGGGGGTGTTAATTTTGTTCCCCCATAGGTTTTTAACATTCTAAAAGCTCTTTATTCCAAAGATACTACAAGCTAGTCAGTGTATTCAGTAGGTGTAATGTATTGTAAGTTGCTTCAGAAGTATTGCAAGTATTACGTACAACAATAAAACAGTGCATTGACATAAAAAAGGAAATTTACTTTTGGTAATTAAGTACTTTTAAAAGCAAGTACTTCTGTACTTTTACTTAAGTAAAAATCAGTCTTTACAACTTTTACTTGTAATGGAGTAATATTTGACCAGCAGTATCTGTACTTTCACTCAAGTAATGGAGTTGGGTACTTTGTCCGCATCTGGTCGTGTTTAGTCACTATTTAGTGTGGTATTTTTTGACAATATGCACTCATCATGACAGTAAAATAGGGCATTCTAAGTCAATATACTGCAGTATTTCCTCTCTCAATAAGTAGAAAATATGGTTAACACCCGGTCATGCATGAAAAAAAATACCGTCATGTACCGTGAAACCGGTATCATTTTGAAAAATACTGTGATATAAATTTTTGGTCATACCGCCCAGCACTAGCCTGAGGGTGAGTTTTTGGCTGAAGTGTTCCTTTAAGGATATTTAGCTTAAATATTTACACTGGCAAAACAAGATAAACTGATTAAGATCTTTTATCAAGTGTATTATTCAGCTTATACTCTTTGGTGTAGACCTTGAAATCCTTATCCAGAACTGCCATTCACTTATTTCTCTCGTGGTTTCTTCTTTTCACTCTGGCAATAGCAACAACACCTACCTCTTCCCTCTGCATCTAAATGATCTATATTATATCTCTGTGGTTGCATAACTGCTTCTATACAAGTTCTCTGAAAGAAGAACCATTTAGAGCGCTCATTTTTGAAGGTTACTTAAATTGTCTTCTTTCTCATTAGATGGTCAATTATCAAGTTCACAGCTCCACTACAGTGTGAGCAAAGCCCTGGCAACTCACAAGAGCCTAAATAAAATGTCTTTGCTTCTGGTTAAATATCATCTACCACGGTCGCAGTCACTTTATGCAGCTTAAACTCATCTGTTTTTTAAACTACTACAGCAGAAAAATGATACGGATATGACCGATAATGGCAAATAATAAAATTCTGTACTATTTTTATTGTTTAAATAAATTAAAAAAATTCTTAAAAACTGATTCTTTAAACCATTTTTTTTGGTATTGTTACAATTTTGATAGTGTAAATAAATTAACAATGTGTATTAATTTACCTTGTCATCTGCACCAAAATATGCCTGTTTATTTGTCAGCAAAAGTTTTGACAGCTCCAGGGCTTTTGTAAAAACTATATATAGCATTTTTGTAGCCCTACTCATGGAGAGTCTAATCAAACCCAGTGCATTATGGGTGTTGAGGTTTTTCCTATTTTTTCGCCACAACCCTTTTTCTGTTTTCTAGTTGTGTAGCACCGATTTAAAAAACAAAACAAAACAAACATCTTGTTGTCAGTGAATAAATCTAATCATTTCAAAATGTTACAAGGGGATTTACGCATCCCTAAGAATACACCCATAGTAGTTCAAAACAATTCGGTAATACAATGGTACTCTACTTTTTTGTGTATTCTGTAATAATTTATCCTTTCAGCTGCTGAAAATATACAACAAGAATTAAATAAATATCCCAGTAAGCATCAGATGTTGAGTGCAAGGTCTTGCAATGAAAAAAAAAATAGTCCCTTGTGGTTCAGCTTTTCCTTGAGTTTCCAGACTGTCTTTGGTCTTGTGGTTTGAGGGACTCTAGTGGCCGTCATGTTCTACATTGTTAATGTTCTTATTTATAGCCCAGACCTGAGTGGCAGGCGGAACGTGTCAGGGCCTGGAGTTCTCATTCCTGCCTGCTGATTGCCTGTTTCCATTACACAACACTGAGGGGTTAAAGAATAGGTGTGCTTGTCAATAATTGCTATGACGTTACCAGGACATTAACCGCATATCTTAAGTGCATAGTGGGAAACTCATGATGACATCAAAACAATGTGAATACACCCATGAGTGCGCACATTTCCCAAAATGGACAAACATGTGGATAACAGGGGGTCCACATCTCTCCCACCTGCGTCACAGAGCACCTCTTCTCTCTGTACCAGAACATTTTATTACACCTCATATTGAGTTCAAATTTTATTTGTTTTTCAAACAGCAGAATAAGTCAAAGACAATTCTAAGAATCCTGAATTCATTTAAAATAAAGAACCTTCAGTCACTGAATGCAAGCAAGAACATTCTACTACTATTAATTATTTAAAATAAGTCTGATATAAAGATACTTGAATAGTCTAATTATGACTTTTACAAACACTTGCAGTGCACATGAACAAGCAAAATATACAAAACACATCCCCACTATGTGGCTGCACAAGCTGTTTTAGGCTATATAAATAGCCAGACACTGTTTATTTAACCCCAGATACCAGTCTGGCATCACGTTACCCATAAATAAGTTTAATTAAGCGTGTCTTACCTGCCATTGCAGCGCTGACGGCGACTGTTGTGATGAGGAAAGCCTCGGTGAGTAGCGAGGCCCACGGTGGGCTCAGCGATCGCATCCTTACGAACAGTACAACGGCCCGGGGGATCCGGGGTTTATCATTCCCCCGTCCCACAGTTGTTAAAAACCTTTGACTGTAATCTCTGTGCAATGACACTCAAGTGTGGAGTCGGTAAGATGTGATCAGGTCATTCAGTGCGCGTCCACCGCCGATGCTGATGCTGATACCTGTGCGCTGCTTGAGATGATGATCTCTCTCTCTCTGAGCGGGGAAAATACCCGAGCTGAGCTGTGCGCTTAGGCTACGTAAAACGATGTCGTCATCACGTCAGGATATTTTCGGTCCCCTCTAAAGGAAAGAAATATTATTTTAACAAGTGCATGTTGGGGATAATAATGCTGTGGGAGGATGACGCCAAATGCGGAGGTTGAAATATGTCGAACAATTAATGAGCAAAATGTTAAAATGTCACGTATATTATATGTAACCCATATAACTAAATATTGAAATAATATGTGACCCCGGACCACAAAACCAGTCACAAGTAGCACGGGTATATTTGTAGCAATAGCATTGTTACTGATATTAAGTAAAGATCATGTTCCATGAAGATATTTTGTAAATTTCTTATCGTAAATACATAAAAACTTAATTTTTGATTAGTAATATGCATTGCTAAGGACTTCATTTGAACAATTTTAAAGGCGATTTTCTCAATATTTTGATTTGTTTGCACCCTCAGATTTCAGATTCTCAAATAGTTGTATCTCAACCAAATATTGTCCTATCCTAACAAACCATACATCAATGGAAAGCTTATTTATTCATAAATCTCAATTATTCAGATAAAATTATTCATATATACATATAAAATAAATCTCAAGAATGGTGAACGAATTCAAAAGATTCGACTCACTGGGGTGAATCAAAATCTAAATCTGTGGTGACAGAACAAGCCGCCTGCTGGTGTGACATATACATCAAGCCACGTTTTAGTTGTATCAAATACTATTCAGAAAACATCAGCGTAAAGACAAAAATATGCAGTCTCTCAGTGATATTGATTTATTGTTCCAAAACATAATACAATAATAACACAAAAGGATTTGGGCAGGATACAATTAAAAAGGTTAATGTATAGTACCAAGTGCTGTAACTAATAAATAAAAATAAACACATTACGTTAATTAAAAGTTGAAGTCGTTGTCATTTCATTGATAAAACTACTTTAAAAAGTCAGAATAGAAGAAATTAGGAAGCTGTTGTGGTCATATACACGAGTCAGACCCTATTGATAACATTTTACACCTATAATTTGCTTGTAATTTCAATTTGAGCAGTGGCGCTGTATTAATACGAATACCAATTGAATGGCTCTCATCTGCTGGATGCCCTTTTACAAAAGCCACCTGCACTTAAATCAAAGCATCATAACATGACACTTATTTCCACTGGACCCACAACCGATAGAGCAGTATCCTCTTCATGAACTCAACTATACCGTGCATGTGCATCCCAGAAGATACTGATATCATAATGCAATTACCAAATGCAATTAAAAAAATCCACAGATTGAACAATGAAAAAGGAGGGAAAAAGCACCATATGAAAATGGCTTGCAGTCAGTTACACTTGTTTGACCTGGTCAACGAAAAATCTATGCAGTCAATTCCGTAATCACAACAAATGACGGCAGTGTTTAAGAAAATAATGCTTACTCCACTAGCTGCAGCAATGCAAGCAACACTCCAGTCTTAAACGAGCTTTCACTAGATGCAGCTTGTTTGGCATTCCAGGAAGTATTAGTTCACTAGCTAAATGTCTCCTTGACTTTCTTGTCAAAAAGATGTTTTGATTCACCATATCACTGATGCATAAAACAAACTTCTATTAAAAAGTTGATGTTAAATAAAATTCAGTGTCTTAAGTGTGAATTCTGGCAAGGAAGTACTGTATCATTAACAATAAGCATCAGATACGACATGCAGATTTAAATAAGGCACCACATACTATCATCACTAGGCAAAATGTGGCTGGTTTCCAATGCAAAGACATCATTCTTCTGCACCACGCACAAATGAAATGACACTAAACTAGGAATGGAGATCTCTAATAAAGGTGATAATAAAGATATCGTGAACAGAAAGGTGAAGGACATTTTGACCTAGGATGTGTTCATATTCGAGCCCAGCTCTAACTAAGAGTGATGTATTTTTTTTTTAAGTGCAAAAAAGAGCGAGAGTGTGCATGCAAAAAGATATAGACAATAATGTCTATACAGTCAGAGTAGTGAGACAAAAGTGTTTTACGGGCAAAAACGCCACAAGAAAAGCTCCCGTCACTCAGTCAAAAGTCATTTTAGAGCAGTGGGTGATGCATTTACTCACTGTTTACAGGCATAAACACACAGTAAGTGAACACAGTTCATGAGATATTTCACTGGTGATCCATATGTGCACTTTCTCCCTTCCCAGCGTCCTCTCCTGTTTCAGAGTCATTGCATTCCTCCTTTCCCGCCTGATGCTCCTCCTCTGCTGCTTCATTAGTGGGCGACTGGAATCCTCTGTCGTCGTGCTGTGATGGAGCGATGGAATTCTCCGTGTGGGAGTCTTGAGTGCTCGCCGTAATGTGATTTTCCTGCTGGTCTGATGGTGTCACTGCTTCCATTTCCCTTACCGGCGAATCTGAAGGCTTCTCTGTGCTTGAAGTTGTATCTTTGTTTGTGTCTGCTGGGTTTAGTCGTGCCCCTTCTTCACAATTTGAGATGGGTTTTACCTCCTCGGCTGCAGTTTCCTCTTTTGAGGATGACGACTCTGCAGTTTTCTGTGTCCTGACTTCATGTTCCACTTCCTGTACTGCTTTCTCGATTTCCTGTATGGCACAGTCTATGGCTGACATGCTCTCTGTGCCCTGTAGTGACCTTTCTGTTGTGCTTTCTTCCTCTTTTAGTATACTTCTGTTTGTTGGTGGTTTGTCATCAACCGCATTTTTGTTCACATCCTCTTTGGTTCCATTGGGCACTTGCTTCTCTGACTTTTGGGATAATGAGGTGTCTGAACGTACCTCCGTCTCCTCTTCCGGAATATTGTCTACAGCGGGCACTTCCAGGCATGATTCATTGGGCAGCACAGAGGCATTGCCTTCTATATGGATCATGGAGACCACCTGCTTCATCCTGCGCCGTTTTTGAACCTCCGGATCTCCTGTGTTCTCTCCATCCAGCTCCTCTAGGCCTTCTCCATATTCCTCAGCCCAGTCGATGGGAGGATTCTCCCCCAGCAGGTGAAGGTTAGGGTCACTGTTGGTCAAAACGATGCTGTCTCGGTACAGGTTGTGTCTCCTCTGGACGGCTGCTTCCTTCACAGCTGGAACATAGAAGGAAAGTTGATAAGGGCACAGTGATAGTATGAAGGTATTTTGTAAAAGCTTGTGACATCTTACGGTGAACGATTCACCCATGCAAGTTTCGTTTATTTATTTTTTTTGAGCTTGTAATGTTTAATCATTACAAGGTGGTGACATATGATTAGACTTTTCTAATCATTTAGTCCAAATTTATAAGGCCTCTAAATGATCAACATGATCAAGATTTTTCTGAAAAACCTGTTGTACACAATCTACCACATGCCTTGTGTATTTTGATAACTCATACTTAAAAGTAACAGGGCTTTTAAGAATGTGAAGAATAACTTTTATATTATAACCAATATTTCCAGATTAATGTTTTCTGGACTGAAGCAACTTGAGTTTACTTTTATTAATACATAATTTTTTAGGAAAATCAACCATAAGCTCCTATTCAGACCAAAGGATGGAACCAAGTACACGCCCAGCATTTTTTCTTTTCCGATCTGTTTTACTTGGATGTACATCACAATACACAAGAAAACATTTGATCACTACTTCCAATAAATCACAACTTTAAATGTTTCAATCTTCTTGGTTTGTAAAGAAGTCTTACCCATCATTATATCTTTCATGACGGTGTGCAGCACCACCTCCTCAGATATGTTTTCCACCAGAATGAAACGAGAGAAATCCTCAAAAATAAGCTCCTGGAAACGAGGGAGTTCCTGCAAAAACAATATAATAACTTTAAATATTTTCAGAGTAGTTTTAGATTGGACAATGCATTATTGCTTTACCAGAGCCAAGACTTACAGCAGAGCATGATGGGGTGAGCTGTTTCAGCATGTAAGGGATGAAAATCTGCAGAAGAGCCTCTCTGAAGAACTTCTTACGAACTGTGCTGCTGTCGTAGTCAAATTTCTGGACATCAAAGTTTGAAAAACAGAACACATTTTATAAATATTAAACAAGAACCTACTGGTTCAAAAAGATATGATAGGGCAGATGGACGTTCTGTTTCACCTTGACGACACGATCCTGGCAGCGCTGGATGGTTTTACAGAAATCCTCCTGTTCCTTGCCCTCCAAACTCTGGTGCAGGAGCTGCTCAAATGTGTACACCGCATCATCCATTTGCTGCATGAAACAGATGGATATATCCTTAAGGCAAGAATACAGTACATAACTTTTGCCCAGATTTTTGCCTCAATTTGCAGTCTGGAGGAGTCAATGCTAGTTTCCAAAAATCAGTCTGTTTTTTTTTAGGGTTAGCCTTTAGCCAAGTGGGACAGGATTCATGGAAAAGGAATAGACGACTGTGTCCACAACTTTTAATAACTTGCCACAAGGGGGCATATTTCATCACACAAAAAGGGTGGGAACTAGTGGAAGCAACATTATTTTGATAATTCACAATGCAAGTTCAGTCATGTTTCTCCACTCCCTGTGCTTTGAAAATCTGTCTCTGTTGTAAAAATGTATTTGATATAAAGTGCTAAAGCATGATTAGCACTTTATATAAAAGACACCTTATTTCTTTCTTGGGCTCACAATCAGCAGTCATATGCTAGTCTTAAAACTGTAGCTATGTAATTTAGTGACCAAAATGAGGTTTAACATCTCTACCACAACAGCACATACCTCCTCAGGGCATACAGTTTCATACACCCCAAAACCACAAACCAAACCCTAAGTGGCACATAGACAAACACAAACCGCTTGTTTTGCCCACAAAAGTACAATACCCTGTTAACAGAGACATTTGTATACTTCTTCAAACCAGCTGCAGTTTAACGAACCATCTTGATCACATAAACGTAAAAAAAATAGCTCAGAAGTGTGGTACATATTTGTACTTTGTACTGTTTTAAAGTACTTGCCAGTACTAGTGTTTTTTGTTTGCTGTTGTTTTCGGTTCAAAGATGACTGACCTCTCGCATTAGGATTTGGGCTCTTTGGACAAACACGGAGGGGCTGGAAACATCAAAGCGCTGCTGAAGTCCCTCTAAACTCAGAGTCTCCACCTTCTCATAGCAGCTCTGCATCTTTACAGGATGGAAGGCTAGCATGGAGATCTTCTCCATGTGCTGGACACCAAAGGCAAAAGGGTTTTAAGTCTATACCAAAGTCATGGCTCAAGCAGCCTATTAGCAATGAAAGTGTAACAAGATGTCATGAGGAGGACTGTTACCTCTCCAAGTTTTTCCTTGTTGCCGTCATTGAGGAGGTTCTTGCTCATGTCTACCAGTTCTCTGAAGAACAAGTCTCGCACCTCAAAGAAGCCTCTGCTGGTGGGCTCCATCAGCGCGTCCAGGATTGAGCTGATGTACGGCTGGATACTCACCTTCAGAAGCTTCTCTGCCTTGGGCAGCACAAGTGCTACAGACAAAAAGAAAAATGCATTCAGTTGTATAATGACAAAATGCTAGGGATGTACTGATATAAAAATTCTGGCAATAAGCCAATATTTATTTTCATGTTATGGATGATATAGTATTATAATTACTACACACTTAAAACAACTTTGTTAAAAAGAAACAAACAAAAATACAAATTGATAGATTAAAGTAGTAAATGGGTTAAAGTAATTTTAAGGATCACAACATTATAGTGCGATTGAAGTACAGCATAAAACCTAATAAATATAGAATAAATGTTATATTATGTTTAAAAAAATCTGCTATCATTGCATGTGCACAGCAACTTTAAGACATTGTGCTCTTAAAGGGTTAAATTGTTGCCATAATATGTTAGTGCTAAATGATAACCTAAATATTAAAATTAGGAGAAACAATTAATATTGACAATATTGACAGGAAGGATAAGCAGGAAAAGATGTGTCATGTGAACACCTCTGAAATCACGGCATTCTCATTCATCAATATCACTTAAGGTAAGCTGTCAAAATGTGACATCTGTCATCCGCCTTCTTTCATAATTCCTTGTAAACAATCTTCCTTGGAAGTGGATCACCAGAAACTTGATATGATCCAATGTCAGGTTTCCTCAGATAAATGTTTGGCAGTTTTAATTCCAGATAAGCTACTTGACACCTGTGCCACTTTAAATGAAGGAACAAATTGGCAGTTAAAGTTACTTCTTATTTTGCTGGTCACATGTTCTTTGGAAGTGATGATCTGGTCCATGTCGGTGCGGATGGTGGTTTCCAGTGGGGGGCGACCTGCTTCACAGCTCTGCACTACTGCTTCATACTGCGCCTGAGTCTGGCTCTGAACCAGCCCGTACACTGCATCTGATATCTGGCCAAAAATGAAACAGAAGCCACTGTAATACATCCAGGTTGTTTTAGAAACGCTTTTGGGTTACAGCCACAGCTGTATAGTAAAGCTCTGACCCACATATTATACTCTGTTGTAAAATAAAATAGTAAAAAAAAAA